GTTCAGAGATGATCTTCTGTGTTCAGAGATGATCTTCTGCATTCAGAGATGATCTTCTGTGTTCAGAGATGCTCTTCTGTGTTCAGAGATGACCTTCTGCGTTCAGAGATGATCTTCTGCGTTCAGAGATGATCTTCTGCGTTCAGAGATGATCTTCTGTGTTCAGAGATGATGATCTGCATTCAGAGATGATCTTCTGCGTTCAGAGATGATCTTCTGCGTTCAGAGATGCTCTTCTGTGTTCAGAGATGATCTTCTGCGTTCAGAGATGCTCTTCTGCGTTCAGAGATGCTCTTCTGCGTTCAGAGATGATCTTCTGCGTTCAGAGATGATCTTCTGTGTTCAGAGATGATGATCTGCGTTCAGAGATGCTCTTCTGCGTTCAGAGATGATCTTCTACGTTCAGAGATGCTCTTCTGCGTTCAGAGATGCTCTTCTGCGTTCAGAGATGCTCTTCTGCGTTCAGAGATGATCTTCTGCGTTCAGAGATGATCTTCTGTGTTCAGAGATGATGATCTGCGTTCAGAGATGCTCTTCTGCGTTCAGAGATGATCTTCTACGTTCAGAGATGCTCTTCTGCGTTCAGAGATGCTCTTCTGCGTTCAGAGATGCTCTTCTGCGTTCAGAGATGATCTTCTGCGTTCAGAGATGATCTTCTGTGTTCAGAGATGATGATCTGCGTTCAGAGATGCTCTTCTGCGTTCAGAGATGATCTTCTACGTTCAGAGATGCTCTTCTGCGTTCAGAGATGATCTTCTGCGTTCAGAGATGCTCTTCTGCGTTCAGAGATGCTCTTCTGCGTTCAGAGATGATCTTCTGCGTTCAGAGATGATCTTCTGTGTTCAGAGATGATGATCTGCGTTCAGAGATGCTCTTCTGCGTTCAGAGATGATCTTCTGCGTTCAGAGATGCTCTTCTGCGTTCAGAGATGATCTTCTGCGTTCAGAGATGCTCTTCTGCATTCAGAGATGATCTTCTGCGTTCAGAGATGCTCTTCTGCGTTCAGAGATGATCTTCTGCGTTCAGAGATGCTCTTCTGCGTTCAGAGATGCTCTTCTGCGTTCAGAGATGCTCTTCTGTGTTCAGAGATGATCTTCTGCGTTCAGAGATGATGATCTGCATTCAAAGATGATCTTCTGCGTTCAGAGATGCTCTTCTGTGTTCAGAGATGATCTTCTGTGTTCAGAGATGATCTTCTGTGTTCAGAGATGATGATCTGCGTTCAGAGATGCTCTTCTGCGTTCAGAGATGATCTTCTGTGTTCAGAGATGATGATCTGCGTTCAGAGATGCTCTTCTGCGTTCAGAGATGATCTTCTGTGTTCAGAGATGATGATCTGCGTTCAGAGATGCTCTTCTGCGTTCAGAGATGATCTTCTGTGTTCAGAGATGATCTTCTGCGTTCAGAGATGATCTTCTGCGTTCAGAGATGTGTTCAGAGATGATCTTCTGCGTTCAGAGATGATCTTCTGCGTTCAGAGATGCTCTTCTGCGTTCAGAGATGCTCTTCTGTGTTCAGAGATGATCTTCTGCGTTCAGAGATGATCTTCTGTGTTCAGAGATGATCGTCTGCGTTCAGAGATGATCTTCTGCGTTCAGAGATGATGATCTGCGTTCAGAGATGCTCTTCTGCGTTCAGAGATGATCTTCTGTGTTCAGAGATGATCTTTTGCGTTCAGAGATGATCTTCTGCGTTCAGAGATGATGATCTGCGTTCAGAGATGCTCTTCTGCGTTCAGAGATGATCTTCTGTGTTCAGAGATGATCTTCTGCGTTCAGAGATGATCTTCTGCGTTCAGAGATGATGATCTGCGTTCAGAGATGCTCTTCTGCGTTCAGAGATGATCTTCTGCGTTCAGAGATGATCTTCTGCGTTCAGAGATGATCTTCTGCGTTCAGAGATGATGATCTGCGTTCAGAGATGCTCTTCTGCGTTCAGAGATGATCTTCTGTGTTCAGAGATGATCTTCTGCGTTCAGAGATGATCTTCTGCGTTCAGAGATGATGATCTGCGTTCAGAGATGATCTTCTGTGTTCAGAGATGATCTTCTGCGTTCAGAGATGATCTTCTGCGTTCAGAGATGATCTTCTGCGTTCAGAGATGCTCTTCTGTGTTCAGAGATGATCTTCTGCGTTCAGAGATGATCTTCTGCGTTCAGAGATGATGATCTGCATTCAGAGATGATCTTCTGCGTTCAGAGATGATCTTCTGTGTTCAGAGATGATGATCTGCATTCAGAGATGCTCTTCTGCGTTCAGAGATGATCTTCTGTGTTCAGAGATGATGATCTGCGTTCAGAGATGCTCTTCTGCGTTCAGAGATGATCTTCTGTGTTCAGAGATGATGATCTGCATTCAGAGATGCTCTTCTGCGTTCAGAGATGATCTTCTGTGTTCAGAGATGATGATCTGCATTCAGAGATGCTCTTCTGTGTTCAGAGATGCTCTTCTGCGTTCAGAGATGATCTTCTGCGTTCAGAGATGCTCTTCTGTGTTCAGAGATGATCTTCTGCGTTCAGAGATGATCTTCTGCGTTCAGAGATGATCTTCTGTGTTCAGAGATGATCTTCTGCGTTCAGAGATGATCTTCTGCGTTCAGAGATGCTCTTCTGTGTTCAGAGATGATGATCTGCATTCAGAGATGATCTTCTGTGTTCAGAGATGATCTTCTGCGTTCAGAGATGCTCTTCTGCGTTCAGAGATGATCTTCTGTGTTCAGAGATGATCTTCTGCGTTCAGAGATGATCTTCTGCGTTCAGAGATGCTCTTCTGTGTTCAGAGATGATCTTCTGCGTTCAGAGATGATCTTCTGTGTTCAGAGATGATCTTCTGCGTTCAGAGATGCTCTTCTGCGTTCAGAGATGATCTTCTCCGTTCAGAGATGATGATCTGCGTTCAGAGATGATCTTCTGCGTTCAGAAATGATCTTCTGTGTTCAGAGATGATGATCTGCGTTCAGAGATGCTCTTCTGCGTTCAGAGATGATCTTCTGTGTTCAGAGATGATGATCTGCGTTCAGAGATGCTCTTCTGCGTTCAGAGATGATCTTCTGCGTTCAGAGATGCTCTTCTGCGTTCAGAGATGATGATCTGCGTTCAGAGATGCTCTTCTGCGTTCAGAGATGATCTTCTGTGTTCAGAGATGATGATCTGCGTTCAGAGATGCTCTTCTGCGTTCAGAGATGATCTTCTGCGTTCAGAGATGCTCTTCTGCGTTCAGAGATGCTCTTCTGCGTTCAGAGATGATCTTCTGCGTTCAGAGATGATCTTCTGCGTTCAGAGATGCTCTTCTGCGTTCAGAGATGCTCTTCTGCGTTCAGAGATGATCTTCTGCGTTCAGAGATGCTCTTCTGTGTTCAGAGATGATCTTCTGCGTTCAGAGATGATCTTCTGCGTTCAGAGATGATCTTCTGTGTTCAGAGATGATGATCTGCGTTCAGAGATGATCTTCTGCGTTCAGAGATGCTCTTCTGTGTTCAGAGATGATCTTCTGCGTTCAGAGATGATCTTCTGCGTTCAGAGATGATCTTCTGCGTTCAGAGATGATCTTCTGCGTTCAGAGATGCTCTTCTGCGTTCAGAGATGCTCTTCTGCGTTCAGAGATGATCTTCTGCGTTCAGAGATTATCTTCTGCGTTCAGAGATGATCTTCTGCGTTCAGAGATGCTCTTCTGCGTTCAGAGATGATCTTCTGTGTTCAGAGATGCTCTTCTGCGTTCAGAGATGCTCTTCTGTGTTCAGAGATGATCTTCTGCGTTCAGAGATGATCTTCTGTGTTCAGAGATGATCTTCTGCGTTCAGAGATGATCTTCTGTGTTCAGAGATGATCTTCTGTGTTCAGAGATGATCTTCTGCGTTCAGAGATGCTCTTCTGTGTTCAGAGATGCTCTTCTGCGTTCAGAGATGCTCTTCTTCGTTCAGAGATGCTCTTCTGCGTTCAGAGATGCTCTTCTGCGTTCAGAGATGCTCTTCTGTGTTCAGAGATGATCTTCTGCGTTCAGAGATGATCTTCTGTGTTCAGAGATGATCTTCTGCGTTCAGAGATGCTCTTCTGCGTTCAGAGATGCTCTTCTGTGTTCAGAGATGCTCTTCTGCGTTCAGAGATGCTCTTCTGCAGACTTCGGTTGTAACGAGTGCTTATTTGAGTTACTGTTGCCTTTCTATCAGCTGATCCAATCTGGTCATTCTCCTCTGACCTCTGGCATCAACAAGACATTTTCAACCACAGAACTGACACTCACTGGATATTTTCTCTTTTTTCGGACCATTCTCTGTATACCCTAGAGATGGTTATGTGTGGAAATCCCTGTAGATCAGCAATTTCTAAAATACTCAGACCAGCCCGTCTGGCAACAACATCCATGCCACATTCAAAGCCACTTAAATCACATTTCTTCCCCATTCTGATGCTCAGTTTGAACTTCAACAAATTGTCTTCATGTCTACATGCCTTAATACCTCTAACTGCTGCCATGTGATTGGCTGATAAGATATTTGGGCTAATGTTGAACAGATGAACAGGTACATATGCACATACACATACATACACTCATCGGCCACTTTATCGGTACACCTGTTTAACTGCATGTAATTATATATACTGTATATATATTCTAGTTGTGAATTAATGTTTGTACATCTGAGTCTGTAAAGCCTGGAGAGCAGCTGATTTCTGTGTGTTTTTGTTATTATTCGGTGATGGAAAGTGTTTCATTGTGTATTTATGAATGTGGCAGCCAGGTGTTTGAATGACTGAAGTGGAAACTCTCCCAAAAGACGTGGGAGGCTGCATGGTTGTGGAAAAAGTAATCGTTTGTGTATAATATAAAGCCTTGTTTATATTCATGCTCTTTGTGGCACAAATGTGTGTGAAGATTGTTTCCAAAGAACATTGTGGTGCTTTCTCCCATGGTTCATTGAAAAAGCAGCAGTTTGCATCCTCGTGAATTAGTTTGGCTGTGATTTTTCATGCCATAAACATGCGCTGGTTCTCTCAGTCTCACCTCTGGCTGAGCTGAGCCCCTCGCAGACTGGACATGGTTTCCTCCAGGTTCTGTCTGAGATCCAGAACATTCTGAACCGTCCGTTTCCTTTGAGACTCGGGATCTGCACACATAATTAGCAACCAAATTACAATGAACAGTGAGTATGCAAAACAATGTTACCATCAAGGAGCAGTATTAAATCAAGCATCAAATCATAGGATTTTCCTTGTATGTCATATACAGTAAATGCATATACACCCCAGTTCAAAAGTTTGGAGTAAGTAAGCTCTTTTTTAAAAAGGAAATTAATACTTTTATTCAGCAAGGATGCATTCAATGGATTAGCAGTAAAGACATTTTTTACTATCAATCACAGAATCCTGACAAAATATTACGGTTTCTACATGCAGCACAACTGTTTTTAACATTGATAATAATCATAAATGTTTCTTGAGCAGTAAATCAGCATATTAGAATGATTTCTGAAGGATCATGTGACACTGAAGACTGGAGTATTGATGCTGATTTTACAATATATTACATTAGAAAACAGTTACTTTAAATTATAATAATATTTCACAATGTTACTATTTTTTCCTATACTTTTGAGTCTTGGTGAGAATAAGAGACTTCTTTCGAAAACATTTATAACATCTTACCTACCCTAAACGTTTGAACGGTGGTGTATTCATGTAAAGAAAAAAGATCAGTTACACTTTATTCCAATGGTTTACATTCCACTAACTATAAGTAACTTTGCAACTGCGTGTCAACTAACTCTCATTAGAGAGGTTAGGGTTCGGGTAAGTAGAATAAGTTGACATGTACTTGCAAAGTTATTTACAGTCAGTAGAAAGTCTGTTGGTGGAGCATCACAATAAAGTGTTAGCAGATATTAAGCAGACAGTCTACTAATACTCTAATGACTGCTAGTTGACATGTAGTTGCAAAGCTACATATAGTTAGTAGAATGACTAAAGTGGACCATCGAAATAAAGTGTAACCAAATTTATCTAACATAAAATAGTTTTTCAACTATATCTTCAAAAAGATGACTTTCTCAAAAAGTTTCTACACCAATATTTCCTCAATTATTCAAAGATGCTAATGGCAAAAGTACTCGATCGCATTGAGAATTTAAAGACCCATGAAAAAGTTTGATAAAGACAAGCTTCCCACTGAAACTTTTAAAGAGCTTGTCTTGGTTTTTAAATAGCCAACAGCCTTTAGTTTACTGCGCGTCAAGGCCTTCAAAGGTCTTCAACAGTCATCAATATTAACCCTGAAGGCAGCATAAAATGAGACAAATGCCAACAACCAGATATAATCATTTAACTCCATCACCTACATTAAGAAAATAAAAAGTCCCAAGAAAGTAATGCTGTTGTAAACTGCCACACAATTTCTTGAAAACCTGCGTTTGGCTGGCGGTCAGCATGTCAACAGCATGTCCAATCAATCCCATGGTGCAGTTAGGCCCGACGCTTGCCCTGACATTATTAACGACTGGACTGCTTTACAGACGACGAGAGGTGGTTTACAAGCATTACTCTACAGCAGATAACTCATGTCAATCAAGTCTATTCCCATGAGAGTATTAACTCTAGCTAATTACATCACTAGACAGACTTGCATGGTGGAAATAGTAAATGAGGAGACAAGATGACAGTATTTCACTCGTTTTCACTGCAAAGTACGCATGTGACCACTGCAAACAGGTATGGCAGTGGTGCTCACATAGATGACACAATTGAACATCACCTGTGATTTGTCCTGACATCCACAGAAACAGGAAGTTATTATTTCAAAGAGCTTGTCTCTGTTTTTAAGTAGCCAACAGACTTTCATTTACGTCAAAGCCACTAAAGGTGAAAGCTAACAGTCTTCAACATGAACCCCAAAGGCAGCATTAACTGAGCCAAATGCCAACAATGAGATTATAAGAACCAGACCTCATATCACTCCATCGCCTATATGAGAACAAAGGATGAAAGTCCCAAGAAACTGTTTTCTGTACAAGCAGTTGTAAACTGCCACACAATCTCTTGAAAACTTAACTTTATACTGTCCGGTTAAATAAAAAGCAAGCATGCACAATTTTTTTTAATTGATACATTTACATTATGTATACAAACACCCTCATATTCTACATTGCTAACTAAAATAGTGTGCAATGCTCCAATGCAATCTCCAGCTCCATGGGAGATTAAACTTTAATATATGCTCTTTTTCCCGCATGCTTTGATCTGAAAGGCCAGACTGGACCACAGCTTCATGTGTAGATTTTGTGCATCACTGCTGCATACAGTATGTGAGCACTGGTGCAGTTTAATGACAGACAGAACAACCACAGTACAACAACAATGTACTGTAACTCGCTGATTAACAACCACAGAACGATGCATCGTTGGAGAATAACCAACTAGTCGCGACTGTTTCCTGAAACTGTAGTTACATGGTCTCACCTCTGTCATTTGAACCACATTGGTTTAACAATAAAGGACTGTCTTTAATGACTTCACACGCAGGTGGAGGAGGAATAACTAATTAATCTTTTCGAGAACTCAGAGATGCTGCTGTAACGAACATGGCAACTAATGACTACTTCACGGTTTTTGTTCCATGTCATTTTGCTTTACTGATAATTGATTCATCGCGGGATCTCGCATACGTCATACTCTTGAGTTCCCTTGCGCATTTTACACACATGCACACTCTTCAGATTTGGCCCTGATTGTAGTGTTGACACACTAAAATAGGCTATATAGATTAAAATGTTTAAATATTGAAATAGAATGAAAGATATAGAATGTACTGTATGTTAGATTGCTTAATGTGCCCAAGAGCATGATCTATTTAAGTACACGTTATTTAACAAGAAACTATGGTTCTAACTACAGGTTGAGAGCTATAGTTCCAACCACGTAAGTTTGCGATGCTGTTTGTGAATATTCGTTCGATTCTTTCATGAAACGCATATAATATATATATACTGTATGTGTGTGTGTGTGTGAAATAAAATATATTTAACCCACTAAAAAGTGGTAGTGCTCTCGTTCCAAACTCTACCAACAGTTTTGTAAATGTTGTGTATACTTACATAAATTAAAATCAGATGATATAATAATTATTTAAAATTGTTTTTCTAGCTAAAACATTCAAAAATCTTTAAAACAAGATGCATTTACTTGAAGAAATGCTATAAGAATGATTCAAAGATTGGATTTTAGTGTATTTTTAACTTGTTTTAACCAGTTTATACTGAAAATGAGTGAAAAAGCTGCTAGTGCAGAAAGACAAAATACTCTCTCAGATATATTTATCTTTTTGTAAGGATTTTAAGATATTTTACATTAAAACAAGTCAAAAAGACTTATTATACAGTAAATGTAATGTAACGTCAGCTATATCAGTCACCCTCTCTAGATATTGATATCAGTCCAATAGCGCAGTCAAGAAAACAAACATGATCACAGTCCCTCATAAAAGCTTACATATCCGCCATAACTTGCTATAGACTGTCACAAAGAAGCCAAATTTGGCCTCAGCCCTTTATTCCTTAAGTTTCCATATAACTGTTCCTCAACTCAAATTGTTGAGTTAAACTATTGTCTTTAATTGATATTTTAAGCCTTCCCCCTCAGAGGTTTGGACCTTCCTCCAGCTGTGCAGTACAATAGAAACCAGGAGAGAAATACTCCATTCTGAGCTCTAATTCAGTCCTGTGACCAAGAGTGGTAAGCAGAAGTAGTGTGCCACATACGGTCCAACAGAGCGTCTTATAAGGAAGTTTATTATGCAGTACAGATGAGCATTGCTATGTGTGATTATGATTATAAAAAGAAAGAACTTTGATATAGAGATCCGATGAATTATTCTTAGAGACCTTGTGATTAAATGTTCCTGCATAAAAAAAGTTGCCCTATACCACATTGTTTTCTTTCTAAATTTAGAGAAGAAAAGCTCTGCAACCACGCTAGTGTTGGTTGTAATTATACTCTGTATGTGAAAGCATGCTAAAAATCCAAGAATGCAAGCATTTTCTACTATAATTTGGAATCAATCCCAAAAGGATGCTAATGGGAATACAGTGTGAAGAAATAAAGAAATTCCAACAGGATCTTTTTCTTTTTTTTTTTTTGGTTCTGTTCTTTCTTTTTGTTTCTGGGTCCATTTGGATCTTTTGGGATTGTTTTCAAATTATAAATCCGATCAGAATGCTGTATGGATTCATGTACAATAGCTATGGAGAGATGACCTATACATTTTAATAAGGAGTTTAATCTAGGTCATTCGTTTACTCTTATTATACTTTAAACTCACCACTGAATTGTACCATCTTAAACAATGCAATGCAAGGAGGACGAGGATCGAAAATGAGATTCCAAGCAAAATATTGCAAGAATTCAGGCCCAAATTGGTCATTCAAACAGATGAGCTCTGGAAACGGTAGAAATAGAGGTCATCCTGATGCACAAATGCAGGGCATGCTGTGTTTAGAGGATGGCACAAACTGAATGGGATATTGTTTTAAGTGAAACAAGCATACTTCCTGATTAATGCCATTGACATTGCCTAATGGACATTCACTAACCATAACAAGCATACCTCATAGAATATCATGCGATCTGCATGTAGCCAGATAAGCAAGCTAAGGTGGTTATAATCAAATACAGTATGTGAAAAGACTGACAATTATCCCTTAGAAAGCCTAGTTGCATTTCATCCCACGTCCCTACAAATACATATCCAGTGTGACAGGTGATCTTGCATGCTTTTGTTCATGTGTTCGACAACAACATTTATCAGTGTCTACAGATCAAGACACAGTCAAAAGGGTTGATGACAAACTAAAAACCGAATTCATTATGACCCCTTTTTGTATTCCACAGCCTTTTCCTTGCCTCGTACTACCAGCGTCCCTGATAGCAGCCATTACCTCATTACAAATGAGAGAAGAGTGGCAACACCAGCACACACAGGCGGAGAGACACACAAGCACCAGACAGGCGTTGAAAAGCAGATCTGTGTGCCGAGCATCACCCCAGAGCATTTTGTCATTCAATCATTGAACGATATTGGATATACGCCAAGGGGAATAATCTATGAGCGCAATTTCTACCCCACAAGTGTGAGAGAGGGCGGATGCACAATGCACATGCTACTCAGAACAAAGCCCTGCATTGTCCAGCTGTCCGAGACCACCTTTATAATCACATGCAACATGCATTCGAGAGATCTCCAAGTGCAAATATGGCGTGGTTGGAGTTTTTCCAATCAATCCACGCCATTCATCAGCCTTGCTGCCAATGGCAGCTGGTAGTAAGTGGGCGTGAAAACTGGTCGCAGAGGTTTTCAACCGTACTCACCGAGCATTTGACTGAAGAGCAACTGCTCCAGGTCACCAAGAACAGTGACCACCAGCTCCGGGTCCACCTTGAGGAAGGGTTTATCACCACCTTCCTCACCTTGACCTTTAGCCTCCGGGTCTCCAGAGCTCCCAGCCGCAGGTTTCTTCCCACCCGCTTTGGCTTTGCTGGAAAGGATATCGTCGTCGGACTTGCAGTCGTCGGATGTCTTGCTCAGGGGTTTTACTTCCGCGTAAGGGCCTCGAGGGATCCGACTTTGGCTTTTTCCCAAAGCACCAGGTGCCGCAAGTGGAGTGAACGTCTTGGGTTTGCCCTGGAAGAGGGAGTGGTCCGATTTGGACAGGTTGCGCGAGAGTTGGGAACCAACAGCCCCTCCACCGGCTGCGGGTTTGGGCTTGCCCATCTTCAGGTGTCCTGAGGCAGCTTTGCTCATGTCATCACACCATTTGGGCTCATAGAGTTGCATCTTCTTCTCGGCATCTGTCAGCACGGCTAAGTTGGTCAGAGACCTCTGCTTGCGGAGATTGGACGGCACCGGGATACGTCCCTCTGTGCTTCCCACGCGGTACACCTTCAGCTCGCTCCGGGCCACGCTTTGTGGCACGCCAGACTTGCCCCTCTTGGCAGCCATGCCCGCACCTTTCCTTGACGTCCCCTTTCTCTGTCTCCGTCTCTCTCCTTTTATTTGACCCCCAAGCGTCTTCCTCTACTGGAGAGCATTTAGGACCAAATGAGAGAAGAGAGCGAGACCATGGAGGAGAGATTGAATGTGCAGCTCGTTCTCTCTTTGCACGGGAAGAAAATGCCGTCCCTCCCTCAGCCTTCCTGTCAGGCTGCAGCTGCTGCCGCCCTGGTTCCCCTTGTCTCTCTCCTCTTTCTCTCACTCACTCGTTTTCTCTCCTCCCTTCACCAGACCGTCTTGCCGCTGAGCCGTGCAGCAGCCAAATGACAGCAGTGCTGCACGGAACAGTCCCTCCCCCCTTTCTCCCTCTCTCTCTCTCTCTCCCTCTCTCTCTCTTTCTCTTCCTGCCTCAGCAGAAAGTGTGATCTGTTAGGGGAGATGACAAATTGCAACACCAGAATGTAAACTGAATCCCGTATCTCGTAGAGTGTATTCTCACACACATTATTTCTCCATCTACATTGTTTCTCCCCTCCCCCTTCCAGTGTCCAGTGCTGAATAAATTCGATAAAACAGCTATTCACTTTGTGCCTGTAGAAGAAATGCAATCAATCCATCCATCTATCTATCTATCCGTCCATCCATCCATCCGTCCATCCATCCATCCGTCCGTCCATCCATCCATCCATCCATCCATCCCTCGTTTGTAATAGGTTGCCTTTAGTGGTATAATATAATAAAGCAATACTATCTAAAAAAAAATCCAACACAAAACTAGAAAAAAAGTCCTAACAAGTATATTTTCTATTTATATCCATGTATCTATTTGCTCTTTTATTGCAAAGATATGGTAGTACATATTTTTAATCACTATAATACAATAATGCAATATCATCATACTTTCCCCCAAACATTAAGAATACATAAGTTATTCAGTTCTACACAACATACAAAAAAATAGAAAAAGATCAATTATATTCGAAATACATTCTCTAAATCATTTTAAATACTTGTATATAGTATTATGTATAGAACAATAATTAGTATGTGTTTTGATGAAAAACAAAACAAGATATTGATTAACAAGAGGATTGTTTTGCTATATACAGTTCTGGAGATAATCCAGATATATTGATCAGCAAACTTAACCTGTGCAACCTCTCAAACCAAATCTCAAGGTCAAAATGTTGCTTAAATCGGCAAACCTTTAAAAAATAAATTAAAAACATTTAGTAATGTTATCATTCAAGTGAAAAAATAAAAACTGCCAATGGAACAAGACAAAATAAACAAATACTAATGATATATTCTCTAAAAACAATTTTGCTTCTCCAATAAATTGTTCTTATTTCAAGGATATTTATACTGGAAAACAGACCAAACAAGCCAATAAATTAAGAATATTATTTTTTTGCAGTGTAGGAATAAATCTTTTACTTGGCCAATAATAAATCAATAGAGTCCAGATGTTTGCCATCACACCTCCCTCAACCCATCCATCTACACTTCATATAACCGCCGTGCTGTTTTTAGATGATCCCTAGCATCATCGTTCATGATATTCCATACGCATCTCTCTATGGACTTCTCCGCAATGCTTCGCTGGAGAAGCCGTCACCATAGCAACGCTGCTACCTACATCACAACACGCATTAGGACGACCGTGTCTCTCCACACGGCACTGCACAAAGCATCACATCTCCAGCGTGAATAAGGTAACAGCAAGCGTCAAATACACTTTCTGTTCGTCTTTACCGGCTCGCAAATGAGCCCTGACAGGAACCTGGCACTGACTTAAACGAATCACCCAGAACCAGTCTGATGCAACTGACCAGTTTGGTTCAATGACTTAATCTAGACCTCAGCGCTGTCCTGCAGGGGGTGGGCACACTTGGCCAAACACATGCTAGTCCTGGGGCATCTGGGGTAATTCTGAGTAGAATGAGGTCTTTTGTTTGAACTGGTCATGAGTGGCCGTGTCATTCTATAGAGGCTTTTTCCATTGACATCGTTAAAAGAAGAACATACTTCCTGTGGACTGCACAGTGGTCACAAAAAGACTGAAAAGTTCTTCATTTTAGTTACATCAATAAAAAGCAGGTCAACAAGTTCTAGAAAAAAAGGCAAAAAAATATATATCGCTCTTTCATTGGAGCTTTCATTTAGTGTTTTAATTTAATTTCGCCTCAGATGTTTCTCTTAAGATTTCTTAGGGGGTAAAAATAGTCAAACTATTGTCAATTGTTGTCATACAGCATGAGTATAGCGCTATAAAAATGTAGAAGAGAAATGAGAGATGTTTGAGTTCATACCGAGATTTCTGATATTTAATTTGCTTAGCAAATCCAAGCACAATTTGAGATGTCGTTGAGTTGTATTTTTTTTAATCCCAGCAAAAGTCTCTATTTGTTGTCAATTTAAAATCAATCAATTACAATTGTCAATTGCAAAGACCTGAAAAGTATTTATGTAATGTAATCAAGTCTAAAAGAAACAAGATATTAAAATATCTTTAAAAAGCAAGGTATAAAAAGAGATCCATTTAATCTCAATTATGTCTAAGAAAAATTAGTCAAAAATACCATTAAAAATAATCTCAATAAGGTCTAAAAGAAACAACTAAGATATATTAAAAAGGGATATATTAAAAAGTATATATATATATAAGATCTTATATATGTAGACCTCACCAAACTGAGAGATTAATTGGATAATTTTCAGATCTTTGTGTATACATAAAGATCTGAAAGGTATCCGATTAATCTAAGTTAGGTCTAAGAGAAACAATTCGATATTTTATAGAGAGCTCAAAAGTATCCACATTTCACTGCTATATAAAAAAAAAAAGAAAAAAAGATCTGTTCTTTTCTTCCATGAGATATATTCTTATGTACATTATATATCACTGTGGTCCAACGCTTACACAAAACACCGCCGGATTTTGACACGTATTAGGTGAGAGACCTCGCCGTTTTCTCTTGATAAAATATGAACACACACATTCTGGTGTGACTACCGCCCTCTCTCTAGAGAAAGCCAAAGGTTCTCCAAACATCTGGATCCCATCCGGAGACTGTGGTTGGCCAGCAGTGCAGATGTTTGCAGACATGAGAACATCCCATGGGTTGCTGGCATCTGTAGCTGGTCAGCTGCTGCCATTACCCCACACTGATGTATTACTCACATGTGCGCGCGTTTCGTTCAGTGTTTGTGTGCGGATGTGGGAACATATGGCTGTGCTTGTCTGTTTGTTTGTTTGTTCACGTGCCATCATTCTTACATTAAAATCACACCCCTCTGAAGAATTACTGAGTGACAGAAAATAAATCTTATGTCTCCGCTGCACATCTGCTGTATGTTAATGTAAAACATGTGAACACCCTCTGTAAAGACTTATATTGTTGCACATTATTCTCATATATGAAAATATCTGTAATAAGACTAGCTCAGAATTTCAGTATTTCACTGAGATGGTCTATATAGAGCCGTGTGGTCGGCTAAAATCTATTTGAAAATAGCTTCAGAGTTCAGACATTGAGAACATACATCAGCAAAGCCACGAATCTCCTCACATGGACTAGCATTCATAATTTAAAACACCAGCATCTTCTTATACACTCACCTAAAGGATTATTAGGAACACCATACTAATACTGTGTTTGACCCCCTTTCGCCTTCAGAACTGCCTTAATTCTACGTGGCATTGATTCAACAAGGTGCTGAAAGCATTCTTTAGAAATGTTGGCCCATATTGATAGGATAGCATCTTGCAGTTGATGGAGATTTGTGGGATGCACATCCAGGGCACGAAGCTCCCGTTCCACCACATCCCAAAGATGCTCTATTGGGTTGAAATCTGGTGACTGTGGGGGCCATTTTAGTACAGTGAACTCATTGTCATGTTCAAGAAACCAATTTGAAATGATTCGAGCTTTGTGACATGGTGCATTATCCTGCTGGAAGTAGCCATCAGAGGATGGGTATATGGTGGCCATAAAGGGATGGACATGGTCAGAAACAATGCTCAGGTAGGCCGTGGCATTTAAACGATGCCCAATTGGCACTAAGGGGCCTAAAGTGTGCCAAGAAAACATCCCCCACACCATTACACCACCACCACCAGCCTGCACAGTGGTAACAAGGCATGATGGATCCATGTTCTCATTCTGTTTACGCCAAATTCTGACTCTACCATCTGAATGTCTCAACAGAAATCGAGACTCATCAGACCAGGCAACATTTTTCCAGTCTTCAACTGTCCAATTTTGGTGAGCTCTTGCAAATTGTAGCCCCTTTTTCCTATTTGTAGTGGAGATGAGTGGTACCCGGTGGGGTCTTCTGCTGTTGTAGCCCATCCGCCTCAAGGTTGTGCGTGTTGTGGCTTCACAAATGCTTTGCTGCATACCTCGGTTGTAACGAGTGGTTATTTCAGTCAAAGTTGCTCTTCTATCAGCTTGAATCAGTCGGCCCATTCTCCTCTGACCTCTAGCATCAACAAGGCATTTTCGCCCACAGGACTGCCGCATACTGGATGTTTTTCCCTTTTCACACCATTCTTTGTAAACCCTAGAAATGGTTGTGCGTGAAAATCCCAGTAACTGAGCAGATTGTGAAATACTCAGACCGGCCCGTCTGGCACCAACAACCATGCCACGCTCAAAATTGCTTAAATCCCCTTTCTTTCCCATTCTGACATTCAGCTTGGAGTTCAGGAGATTGTCTTGACCAGGACCACACCCCTAAATACATTGAAGCAACTGCCATGTGATTGGTTGATTAGATAATTGCATTAATGAGAAATTGAACAGGTGTTCCTAATAATCCTTTAGGTGAGTGTAGTTCTTGTTAAAAACAGTATGTGACAAAAGAAGTATGTCTGAATTCACAGCACTCATAAAAGAGTATGCTGAAAGTACCCGGATGACCTTTCTTCTGGCGAGATTCTGAAGTGTGCATTTGATGGACAGTTTGGACACTTTGCTATCCCATGATGCCACGGGAGAGGATTTGTGAATGACAGTGGGCCTTTCTCAATCTGTGTTCTTGTCTGTACTTGTGTCCTTGTGTTCTTGTGAAACGTCATCTTTTGTGGCCCAAGTACTGTCCCAATACACAAGTTTGCATTTTGGCAAGAACAGTTAAAA